GACAGTGGCTAATGACCCGAACAGGGCGGAATTTCGGAATTCGTAGTACCTGTTTATTAACCAAATTTGGAGACGAAGTCCAACATATTTGATAAAAAATGTTATTATATTTAAATAAAACACTTTAACGGTTTAAAAGCGATATATTAGTTAAACTTATTTGAAAATGATTTTTAACTTCGGCCCGACGTTTCGGATGCTTTGCAGCAGCCGTGGTCACGGGGTCTCCCAAAATCATTTTCAAATAAGTTTAACTAATATATCGCGTTTTAAACCGTTAAAGTGTTTTATTTAAATGTGTACTACTCGCTAAACTATAGACAGTATTTAAATGTTATTATAAATATATTCGACTAGGTGAAGTAAACCCATGATCATTAATTTATAGCCATATATTGCTACCATTAGACCAACTAACACATAGTAGGTATAACCTACACCAAACCTGTATAATTTATAGAACTTTATATAAATTAAGAAACAGCAAAGGCTCTATAAGTATTTGTTCGTGGGTTCCAGCCTCGTCAGTGTCATCGATCTTTTTGAATCTTAATTATTTTTTCGTTTTGTAATACGATTATTTTCAGTGTCATTCATATTTATGTAAGTTATTTTTTTTCATAGAAGGTTCGTCAAACATTTATAGTTCGTTAGAATTTGCATTCAACTTGAATGATGTATCTAGCTTGAATTTATATGTAGCGGCTAATTAACATAACTGTATACGAGCTTCGTGTTATATGCGTTGATCTAACGTGTAATGTTAATTGTAAATCAGTGTACATTCCTTTTACACCGGCCATAAAGATAAACCGATTTAGAACGAACCCGTCGATGTATGCTTCCCACGGAGGAATCGTTTTTATTAGGCAATGTCGAGATTTGATTGATTAGTTTATGAGACTTGGGGTCTATTTGGTTTTAGTGGGCCTGAGACACCTCTTCTAATACACGCAGTATTGCACGAACGATTGTGCTCTCTGCCTTTAGGCTAAAATACAATATTTTCTAAGCCCGAAAACTGAACTTCTCTTCTGTGGCATGGTGCATATTTAAATGTTTCACTGATCGATGTTATTTTATTTTCCCGATATTCCAACCCAGGACTTCTAGCAAATAGTTTAATCACTGAGCCACTATATCATATTCGTAAATATAGAAGACTAGCTGTGCCCGCGACTTCGTTCGCGTGACTGGGGGTAGAATTTTTAATTATTTAGGCTGTTCATTTAATTTATGTAAGGGCGCATTTAAGGCTTTTTTATCTATGATATAAGTGCTACACTTTGCCGCAACACTCTTACCCTCTCATTACTCCTACTCTAACTCCCATTCTTATTCCTACACTCACTCTCACTCCCACTCTATTCCCTAAGAAGAAAGTTTCATTTTCTAGCTTCAAAAACCAGGAATTTCCATACAAACTTTCATCCCCTTTTTCAACCCCACACCTTTTTAGGGTAAATTTATTTTAAACCAGTCAGCAGTCAGCACTTACGCATTTTTCAATATTAGTATAGAAGTATAGATTTGTATTTCTACAGGTTATTAGTATACTTGAATGCCTTACAGTAATAGTTTATTACGTAAATAATAGAAGTACACATTTTTGTGTATGAGTAATTGTGACTTAAAAATATAATAGTGATTACAATTTATAAGCTTTTTACACCCAATTCCCTCTGCGATATTAATAAAAGTAATTCGCGTCGCTTTCAAAATAAACAGCGGCCAAACTAATTATATTATGCACCGCCCGAGTAGCACATGTGTAAATACGCGCCCTCTTTAATCTTCCATACGGATTAGCTTTATTGAATGCCAAATGAGCTATGACACCCATCAAGTAAAGAGACATAAAAACGATTATACCGAAATGAACCTTATTACCGCGCGATAGAGTTCAAAATGATTTAGACATTAAAGTAGGGTAAATGCACCCTTCGGTGGTTGGCTTTTGAACACAATTAGCGAATGAGAGGTCTCATTTGGACGCAGCGGTGAGAAGGATTACGATACTGACAGAGCTGCGCGAGCGCAAGTAACTGTTGATACTATAACAGTAATAAACATTGCAGTGTAATTAGGTAGTGTTTAGTTAAGCACACCAATTCTGTTGGTTTACTTTTTGTTACTGTACTTTGTTCATATAGATTTAAATGATATTCGTTTAACTAGACTAAGATGATAATTAAAAAAAAAATAAAAGAAAATGGTTATATATATGAATGGCACATATAAAAACTTGACATGAATTTTGAACCAGCATCCACAGATGAGCTACCGTTGCTAATATTTTTCTTAAAATGATTCTTTTTTACGATCAAATTACCTACGTTATGTCGTTTTGAAAACCTACCCCGATGTTAAGCGTAATAGAAAACAAATATTAAGAGAATGACACAACAGAATCAGTGAATACGCAGAGCGCTAGCTAACGGTACATTACTTACATTAATCTTATTATATACACTTGACTTCACGCACTACGCTCCCTTTTCTATATTATTTTTATAGTTGATTGAAGGAAAGTTGATTTAGCTTTGCTAGTAGCTGGAAATTAAACAGAATGGCGGATAAAAGAACAAACAAAGGCCTGGAAGACCGAGGCTCCGCTGGTGGGATGGAGTTGCTAAAGACCTGGAAATCTTGGGCGTCCAGAACTAGAACAGGTAGCACAACATAGATCGCAATAGTGAAAGCTACTAGATCCTAGGATCCACAAGGGGCTGTACAGCAGTCGATAATGATGAGCAGCTGGAAATATTAAGAAAATAATCTTACAAACAGGTAATCTGCAATGTCCTATAGCACGTCCAAATAATAAACCGCTCCATTTAAAAGGACCGTTTATCTCGCAAACAATAGAAGAATGCAAACAAATTCGTTTGTGTGCAACACATCGCGGCCCCAAAAGCAAAGCGCTGCCCCTAAATAGAATATATCACTTAGTATAATACAATTTGGACCCTCGGAATTAAACGCTAACTACGCGCAATGATCTACGAGTTGCGACAGTTAGACGCGAGGGGGCGACGCACGTCATCGCCATTGTTCCGCTAAATGTATCATACCAATGAGATCTTTGAGATGCTGATGTGCATCATGAAGAGAGGGTTCCGAAGACACGATGTAATCGAGTTAAAAATGATGTGCCACGCAAATAAAGCTTTCATTCAGTCTTCGATTCGACTTAAGAAGTCCAACCGTGTTATCAGGCGTAAGACAAAACACTAGTGTAGACAAACTTAAGGATGCAGAAAATGTATTCACGGATGTTTAGTCGTGTAGTCGTCGTCTCATAAAAACGAAATAAAAGTACCACATTAGCGATGATACAACCCAATATGATTTGTCATATCGGTCGTTTAGTATTTCAATTAATTTCATGTTGCACTGTAATTAAATTTAATCCGTTAAATTGGTTTTCTTTGTTTATTTTCCGATTTCAATCGCTTCATTTAGACAAGATTCGCAAAAATTAATATCTTAATGATTTTACAAATGTTTTACACGTTTTTTTACATGTTTTTTTTTCTCTTCAGCGAGTGAAGAGGGGTGTGTAGCTCAATTGGTTAGACGGAACGGACACCACGGAACGGTTCAAATCCGGTGTCGTATTTGTTTTTTAATCTAAAATCGATCTTTACATTTTCACTGTCCGAAAATAGTTAAAATATTTTTTACACAAATAATATTTCAATTCATTTTCGCCTAAGTTAATTGCGCATTTTTATTTTCCTCCTTATTCAAAATCATGTTTTTGTTATTCACTCTGCCTTTCGCAGCCAAAATTTTCAAAGGTATGATAATTCCGCAGACTAATAGTAATTGATATATCAAATATGATAGAAAACAATGCGTTTACATTTCATCCCAGTTAATCCACGGCCAAGAGTGAAACGTTTGATTGCGCCGCGACTAAGTGATTGACTTTTCAATCTCCATAATCCGATTACCGACAACATGGTTCATTATATGCGTGCACGCCGATCTGATCCTTATCTACTCGCCATTAGGCGCATAATGGACTATTCCCACGTGACATATGGTTAATTTGGACATTGGAATAGTCACGCGGGGCGAGTGTCGCGTATATGTACCGTTTACCCTATTCGTTTGATACAGCTCAGTACGGCAATAATAGTTAGCTGTTAGTGATAATTAAGGTTTTATCGTGTTAACAAATAGAGAGAAATTATAGCGTTTAAATTATTTACATGGGCGATTTAAATTTGAGAAATATTTCGACTAACAGTCGTCAAAATTTCAGGTTAGCTGCGTTCAACATCCACCGCACAAAAGTTACTTAAACTGTGTAAGATTGAATACTGTCTTCCTGTGACCACGGCTGCTGCAAAGCATCCGAAACGTCGGGCCGAAGTTAAAAATCATTTTTAAATAAGTTTAACTAATATATCGCGTTTTAAACCGTCAAAGTGTTTTATTTAAATGTGTAAGATTGGTTCAATCGTCACCAAGAATTCAAGTTTCCAAGCCGGTACAAACAAACAAAAATTTTTGATATAAGAACTCCAAAAATATGTTTATTTATATAGTGCCTACGTATTAGCCAATGTGGAAAGTTTTATATTTTTCAAACATTATTACATAGGTAATTAAAATTTTACAACACGCAATAAATAATAGTTACCATTAGAAATCAAATTAAAACGTTTTTACAAACTACATATTTATAAGTAGGTAGGTAGGTCTGTATGTGGATGCCGGATTAAGTCCCGACCGTGATATAGATTTTTTTCAATCTACACAGGTTTTTTACTTAATATCTAAGTAAAACAGTAGCATTACGCGAGAGGTCCATATATCAATAGGTTGAAGAAAATCGACGTTGACGTGTACGACATGGTTGTTCAATTAGTTAGAACGGTACGGAACACTGTGGATGCCGGTTAAAATTCTCCCCGTGTAGTATTTAAAAAAAAATTATAATCGATTTTTAATTTAGTTTTAACTAGTTAAATAATGGTAGAGTGTTATCAAGGTAGAGTTTCGTCATTTAATTTCATTAATATAAGTATTACCTTGACTTGCGACTCCGTCATGCCAAGCGCATACGCCAGTTTGGCCCTCTCTGGACCAGCGAGGTACTTGGTCTGCTCGAAGGTCTTCTCGAGCGCGAAGATCTGTTGTCCGCTGAAGGTGGGTCTCGTGTGTTTCTTCTTGCCGTCCTTGTCCATGCCGCCCTGCGCTGCGCAAGCGCTCAACGCACCATTGCTCACTACAACAATGTTATACGATCGATAATTATAAGTAGTTTGAATATTTATAAACTACCTGTGCTAGCGACTTCGTCCTCGTAGAATAGTTATTTTAGGCGTTATAAATTATTCTTATAAATTATAGCTGTCCACGACATCGGTCGCGTTCCAGACTTATAGTGTCGCAGATCTAAATACTGTCTATAGTTTACGCGAGTAGTACACATTTAAATAAAACACTTTAACGGTTTAAAACGCGATATATTAGTTAAACTTATTTAAAAATGATTTTTAACTTCGACCCGACGTTTCGGATGCTTTGCAGCAGCCGAGGTCACGAGGAGACTAAAGATGGAGGATGTCTCTGACGTCAAAGTAAAAAATTGCTACGCTAGCGCCATCTGTTCCGTCGAAGTTGGTATTCGGCGAAACTGGCCGGACATTTGTTTTGCATGTCGCAGATTTGTTTTTAGATCATTTAAAGAGGAATCATTATTTCATACATTTTTTATGGGTCTCTTGAAACGTTTTCGCAGCGCAGGCAACCCTCAAAGATTAATATTATTTCCCGTTTCTTCCACATCCCCCTCCGTTTTGATGGCTCCTATTGGTGCAGTGTAACGTTTAATAGCCTATATAGGTATCCTCGATAAATGCGCTAACCGACATTTTATTTTTAATTTTCACCAAACAAACTAACTCTAACGCTCTTTATTTAAATATGGATTGGTATAGACTATTGTGTTGAGTACAGACAAGTATAGATTTTCCATAAAGAATATCTGAAAGAGTCTGTGGTTTTAATTTATAGATTCTTAACAACTGTAATAATGTAAGGAATTTCGTTTTACTTTCACAACCTTTTATGAGAATTTTTGAGCGCCAGATTTTGTTATGGATGTAGAGATAAGTTAGACGTTATCTTTGCATTCAGAAATATGTTATTCTCAGAATGTGTTTCTAACAATTTAAGTAGATCGTATTAAGAGCTAAATCATCGAAAGTTTGAAAAGATAGGCTATCGACCGCGGTATATTGAGGGGAATAACTCAGGGCGAGTGTCAAAACATCGGCAGAATAATGCCGGAGCAACATAAAACCACAATAAAAACGTCGCGGACAAAAACAAAAAAGCCATTCCATTCAATTGTGATATTTTTCATCGCGTATAAATGTTTTGATGAAGCGCGACTCCCGCGGGACGGGGGTTTGGGGCGAGCGTCCCACCCGCTGAGGGGCGGAAAAATGAAAATAATGGTGGCTCGCCCGATTGTTCTAATGCAGCCGAGGCTTTTATTTTTTATCTGTGGAATTGATGCGGATAATTTCGTTATGAAAATATTTATAAGCTGTTGTTTTGAACGATTTCGAAAAAGAGCCTTCACATTAAACGGAAGGGTGTCGTAAGGTATCGTTAAGGGAAAGATGGAGCGATTTTATCTGACTGCAAAAAAATAGTATCTATAAATAAATTTGTACATTTTTATATTTTCATCACATGACCGATAGAAAACAGATTGCCATGCACTACGTAATCATTGTAAATAGCTAATTTATTTTATGCAACATATCTGTCACTGAAAAGCTCTTTTTTAATTTAAAATTAACAATTTTGATCCTTTAAAGGACCGATCACGGCTGCTGCAAAGCATCGTCGATAGCCAATCGTCGGATCAAATTAATAAAATACTTAATATATTTCGCGTTTTAAACCGTTAAAATTGTTTTATTTATATAGGAATGTACTACTCGCTTAAACTACAGACTACATTTCGTATTAATTACAAATTAATTTTTTACTCACACTTTTTATCATCTTTATATTAAAAATAATCGGCATAGGCACACACCTTTAAAAATATTGTAATATCTCCGTTATGTTGTAACCCTTTTTCATTTCTTAAATACAATGAGAGTGTATCCCCATATACCATAAACATAAATATTAATGAAACGTTAGGTAACTACAAACATGTCTCTTTGTAGATTTACGCGTTTTTGTTTTATTTATGATCATTCATAATAACTGGCTAATTTTATTTCTCTTAAAAGGTACCGCACATTTCAAATAGATATAGCCCTGAAAAACAGAAAAATACAGATTAAGAGTCCCTTTACATTAACTATACCTACCTAATGTTATTATAATACTTAATTGTTTTGTTTGGCATTTGCGAATAGTACAATAACGCGTTACGCGATACGATTTTTTCTCATACCTATGAGAAGTTTATCGCCTCTGTAGCCAAATGGTTAATCGTGCTGCCTAGCTTCGAGTGCAGCGCGTTCCTAGGTTCGAATCCCCAAATACAATAGATTGTTTCGATCGGGTAGAGCACAGAAGTCTGATCAACTACATGTCTGTAAAACGGTCACAGAAATATGTTCGTCCTTTGCCCCATGGGGAAACGGGATTTCGTTATAAGAGGTTACATAAATAATATTGTAATTAGTGGACTTTTACACATAATGTTTGTTTGTTCGGTTACTTCGTTAGTGTAATGTACAGTTGGTTTAAAGCCAGTAGGAGGCAGCGGGCGCACACCGCAAAACTCGAGCCCTTTGAGAGAATCGCATGGGAGAACCGCACCCCCCCTTCAAGGCAGATTGTATGACATCCTCCCGACGTGTTCACATATTACACGATGTCTTAGATGCTCGTGTTATCACACTGTTCTACAATCATAAACAGTTGTACGATATTAATTGTGCTGTGTATTATTTTGGTACGATAATTATTACGAGTAGAATGACGTAATATTATACGTTTTATGTAATATATAATAATACCAAACAAACATTTACATAAACACTTTTACGTTTTAAAACACGAAATAAGTATAATAGTTTACGAACTATTGGCCCGACGCTGCTGTAAAGCATTCGAAACGTCGGGCCGTAGTTAAGATAATTTGTAAACAAGTTTAACTAATATTTTTCACGTTTAATGTTTAAACCGTTAAATGTATGCTACTCCGTAAACAGCAGACACTAACTAAAATAACAGCATAACACTACGGAAAAAATATTCCATTCAAACTTTAGTGTAACTATCGCATACGATAGTTACACTAATTTCATTCTAGAGTTGAAAATATCTAGGACATAAGTGATATTATATGAATTGAAGGGGTTTTCATCTATTAAAAATAGCCTTTCAAATCTATTTATAACTAAAATCTATATATGTATTAGCAAAACGACTGTTTTTTATATGTCGTCAATCGTTGAAACGCCATAAAACGTCAAAGCATTGATGAGATAAAACATCGATGACACCTCATTCACGTCCTCGAAAGAGGAAAACGGAGTACCTAAACAACTAAATAGATCACCCCTCCGTATGTACACACGTTAACATCCAACCGTTCTCTCCTCGTTACCCCACTTCCCCCACTCACCCCCACACCCTATCCCTGGAGGGTGCGGTCCACAGATTTAGCTCGGCGTAATTGTCTCGGCTTATAATTGTTATAGGCTGTTGGTGTTCGTCAAGATAAGGCCGTGTTCGCTTTATGTTTATTGCGAGAAGGATGAACGTTTCGCAGCTATCAAGCTGTGTGACAATTCTACGCTGATTATTATGGAGTAGGTAACTGATACATACATTGAATATAAATAACTGTCTGTAGTTAACGCGATTAGTACACATTTAAATAAAACAATATATATATTTTGATCTTTCGTAGACTAGATTACATTTGAGTTGCATAATGCATGATGTGTGAACAGCCGGCCACGATGACACAAAAAGTGGCCCTCTCCGTTGCAATATTGTAGTTTGGCAAGGCAGAAATGTAGCTTTTTATTAAAAGCCTTTATTAATTTGACGGAAAATATATTTAGGTTATCATCATTCTAACTAACGAACAGTTAACAATGCAGATTATAAGAAAAACAATATAATTTAAATTGAGGTAATCATATGCAAGAAAAGCCGCCATTTTTTATCTGTAGAAACATGACAATTGACAGTGTAGCGATATTTGTTTTTTCACATGGCTTTAGGTGATTTTTTTTATTATTTTAGTGCCTGGTAAATGACAATTAGCGAATTACCCTTCCACAGACTGTAATGTGTGTTCCATAGATTACAATCTAACATAGTTCGGAATGATCACTCAGAAAGAGAGTCACATACATATACAATATATGAAGATAACATTCACAAACAATATAGTAGATGTCAACATATCGACTGTTATCAGACGACAGGTGTAACGCTTGTAGCGACAGACGGCGGCGTTCATTACGACCAATATCTACTCCGTTTTCATAATTATGTCGCTGTTAATCTGTTTTTATCGATACTTTTCAATAATTCTAGCATAAGTAACCCTTTACAATACGAGATCCTATATATTGTTAATTGAGAATTAGTATTATACAAAAATGGGGTATGTACCTACATAGGTATTCATTAATCGTATTCTTAAGTAATATAGAACATTTAAATAAACCACATTAACGGTTTAAAGCGTGATATACATTACAACTTGAATAATAATATATGTCGCGTTTTGAACCGTTAAATTGTTTTATTTAAATATGTGTACTACTCGCGTAAACTACAGACAATATTTAAGCTAGAACACATTTAAAGGAGCTTTTTAACGCCGCAATGTCATTTTTGTGGAACCTGTTATTTTTTGGCAGTAATATCGAAATGTCAGTTCCTGACACGTCCACCACCCACAGAACCATCGTCCACAGATTAAATACACGAAACCAAAAAAAATATCGTCAGCGTAGGTATCTTGTTTAGATGTTGAATTATTGCTAAATTAACCTATTCTAGTCTGTTCTCCTCGATAATAAAAAAAACCTTATTACATAGATGTACTCTACAGATCTATGTAACAGCATTGCTTAAATAATCCAAATAAACAACTGAACAAGCTTATAGCTGGTCAAATCGATATATGAATAAGCGATCTAACTCGTGACAATGGCGTAAACACAGCGAGTGGATGTCGCTTCGTTCCTGTCATGTTACTCAAAGTTAGCACAAATTGTATGG